CACTGCACCGGCCGTACGGAGAGGGCAACAGTCGGCGCATAGTCTGAGTGACGGCCAAAGTGTGGTTAACGCCCGACAGTCGCGACTCAACGCTCAACAGGCGCCGAAAGTCGGCCATTGATTTGTAGTGAAATAACAGATACTTTGGGTTAGAGTTAATTGTTTCACTCCAGCGACGAATGACCGCAAACTGCTGGGCGTTGTCTATCAATTGAGTTGAATTGCGAATCATTCGGCTAATTGTCATTAGTTTTTGATCATATAATAGGCTAACCATTACGTAATTTTGTGTGAATGCATTATAAGTTGAATATATTATACGTCGTTTTATTGATCGGATATTAACGCCCGGCCAGTGGTCGACATCACTGCCGCCGATGGCTATACGGGTCTCACCGGTGGTGTCAATATCGCTGTAGTTAAACAGTTGACTGAAGGCTGGCAAGCGATGACATTGCGGCGATCGCTGAGAGCGCAGGCAATGCCTATCCACGCGATCTTCTGTTAAAATTTTTATATCGTATACGAGTGTTATGTGCGGTAAGTGCGGGTCCATTGAGTTGTCCATTACGTCAAATACGGTAACCGTTTTGTACGCAAAATAGTCGACCGACACGTCGTATAATTGGTAGCCAAGTATTGCCGCCAATAGGCAGAGAAATGTGAGCTAAAATTTTTAATATAATTTGTTATATCGTAATTAATTATTCATGTAATCATTCATGTTCATAAGAATGACCAATATAAAAATAGGAGTTTTAATCAAGCCCATTTATATTTATAAATACATTAATATATTTCAATAATTTTATAAATAAATTACCCGAATATATAGTGATATGAAAAGCCATGTCCGACCAAATTGACAGCATAGGTGTCGGCCAATCGACCGTACGTTTAAAATGGCATTTAATTTGTTTCGCACATAAACAAAAAAACTTTGTAAAATAGCAACGATTGTGAGTCCGTGCCATAGACTCAATACATTGATTACATTAACAATTAGATTAATAAATTTGGTTTTCGGGATATAATTGATATGCAAATAATATTTATTAACAAATGAAAATGTTGTGAATTGTCTAGTTAAATCGTTGGAATACAATTCCGTTTTTATTTTCTGATATATAGTTTCCCGACAATCGGCCGGACATTTGCGTTGACAGTAATTATTCTTAATATACGATCGATGGGAACATTGGTTAACAAATTTTGTCACAATTTTATGTCCAATCGTTAGCTGAATCGTTAGTAAATGGTTGTCCGCATAACAAGTGGTTGTGTTTGTGTATTGACTGTCGTATTGCTTACGATAGCATCGCTGCAGACAATCGTATTGTGTGTCTCCGGCGGACCGAACACGACATCCACCGTCTCGTCCGCTATCGTACGGCAGAGGCAGTCGTGACAATGAATACGGTATTAATTGTATTAACAGTTTTCCACCGCCAAGTGTCGCAAAATCCTTATATTCAAACCAATTGTCGGTTAATTTTGGTAACTCTTTCTGTGAGTGAATAATAAATCGTTTTCGCAAAAACTTAATCCGATTTCTTCTGTCATCAAACCGTTGATCCTCTTTGAATACAATCACATCCGAGCCGTCAATTCTTTTGATGACCACTGGTTTTGGCGATATATTGCCGGCCATTGATATGTCTGTGAGGTATGTCTGGCACCGACCGAACGGCGAGAGTGTGACCACTGGTGGCCGTAATTGAGCGCAGAATTTGTGGTTAAAACGGCACTCAATATAATTATCAAATTGTTTTATATCCATTATTGTTGCGTTCGCTAAACCATATCGACTGTTACGATCATGATCAATTTTATCAAACTCTATCTCGTTTGAAATATTAATATATTTTAGCCAATAAGTTGGCAGAGCATAATGAAAGTATGTACTTTTAATGTGCTCTTTTGAATATTTGAGTAAATAGTTACATTCTTTAAAATAATGCCATGTTAAGTTATTTTGATATGTCATTATTTTAGATGGATGTGATTCACAGTATTTCCTCTTTTCATGTATGTTATCATTAGTTATNTCGCGTGTTGTCAACGATAATAAGGATTACATACAGAAAGTGTGGTTCAATGACGACCGACCGGACGACTGGTATTCAGAGGACCGACTCGTTTGGGACTCAACTCAACCCATGTATGTCTATAAAGATGAGCCCATTATGTCATTCCCGGCGTACATGTCATACATCGGCGGACTCTTTGGCCTCAGGTTTGGCACTAATGGCCAGCAATTGATTGTCGCCGTAATTGACAGCCGATTATGGCTTTGGTTGAGGCAATCAGTTGTCGACCGCTTTTCACGTCATAACAGAATTCAAACCATAAATACTATTTCAATGCAATTGAATCATTAGTACAGTATGTACCTTTATAATATTTTATATGCTATTCTTCTGTTGTCTACCACTTAAAATTTAGCTATTTAATTTTAACAAGTAATACATCAAAATGTTTGCTGTATAAATTGTTTATACTATAGAAAAAATTATGAATTTAACATTACGCTTTATGCAAATTTAATCAACTTAGTTTATCAACCGAGTTAATATTACTCATATAATTAAGCAGATTCTGCAAACATTTCCAATACATTTTTTAATGGTCGGCCATTTGGTGATAAGGTCCCGAATACGGTATATCGATTATATAATTAATCTAGCAAGGTGTTAGGAGAGCATCGTACGTGTTATAGTACTTTATACATGTGCCATAGTTATTCTCGGAGCCTATATTGCATTACATTCTATGGAATATTTTAAAAACTTAACTATAACTTGACCTTGGTCCATATCCATGCTTATTTTACCTATAATCACAATAGCAATTTTGAGCGTCCATTATCTGGTAATAGATTGCTTAATGTAAACTTATAATTAAAGCATAGATTAATTACACGAATTAACAATTAATGTATGTCTGGATAATAAGTTATCTACAATTCATTTGATATATTGTATGCAAACAATTAACTAAAAAATACAATAAAACATAATTAAAAATAAATTATCAAACAAATTAAAGCGTTTGCTGTTGTCTTGTATGTGGTTTTTTGTGTTACGTTTGTATAATGTATTTAATGAATAGTAAAGAGTGGTCACAATTAGGGGGAGAAAAAGTTGCATTAAAATTATATAATATGTTACGTTTTGACAAATAATGTGTGAGAATTGTTTTGTTTGTAATGAGAAATTAGTTTTGAAAATTATGTGTATTTCTTAACCTTTAGCTCCCGGGCCATTAAACAGGTTTGCTTGTACATATTGCTTGTACATACAGTAGTATCCCGATTCATGTACACCAAAAAATGAGCAAAACTAGAGATGAGCAAGGTAGTAAATTTGAGGTGAATGTGAGGTGACAGAGATGACAGACACATATCTTGCCTACAATTACAACACATATAGTAAACCATTAGTTTCTCAATTACTTTCTATCATTACTCCAGTGCTAACCATCAATCACTTCCCAATTCATCCCTATATCACTACTCCTTTCACTACTGTACTGACTCTATGGCATCTAAATAACGGACTTTTATTCTTGAACTATACTAAACTAACAAACAATATATGATTGCAAAAAATATAAAACAATTGTATTGCGTTTACTCTATGTTATGACATCAATGGTTACATTAATTTTAATTAAAAATTAGTAAAATTCTGGGAGACTAATGGTGAGGGACTCGAGTTATGGATTTGGTAATCAATGATAGCGTATAATTACCGGGTTGTCCTGAACTGGAGCCGGCGCTCGCGTTTGGATCCGACGGACTCTCCACCATAACTGATGAATCTTCGCGTAAAGAGTTGGACACTTGACTCGAAGAGTCGTCAAATGATATGATGGGCTTAACCTCTAATATAATTAGCAATAAACCCAAATTAGATCAAAGTATTGATCGCATTATTTGTTTCATCAAATTACCAAACATATCGTTGGATTCATCTTCTTCTTCGTCGTCGTGAGCGGTCAGCGCCAGAGCGGAGCTGTTCTCCACTTGTGACGGCCACGACTCTAATTGCTATTAAATTTCAAATCAATGTTAATCTATGACATAATTGGGGTATAAATTAATTTACGTTTCCGTTGTTAACGTGTTGTTCACTGCAATCCGTCAGCTGTTTATTGCTGTCGTTGTCACGAATCACTTCCGTCTCTAAGTTCTGCAGTGTTTGTCGTCTTCGCGTTTGAATTACATTTAATGGTTGAGTATCTGTTTTGGCAGTAGTTTTGGTGGCATTAGATTCGGCTAATAAACCGCGAGATTCTTTGGCTCTCGACGAGTCCAATGGCGGCGAACCGTCATTCAGCTTCTTATTAGATGTCTCGTCACAACTGTCTTCGCTTTGAGATAAGTTGCTATCGCTTTCACCGGAAACCGATATACTATTGCTGTGATTACCTCTCCTTCGCTTCTTCTTGCGATTCAGACATCCGGAAGAAGAGTTGGTTGGAGTGGTTATCGCAGACAACGTATCGTTACTTGTCTTCGCGTTGGCGGAAGTGTTGGGAGTGGTTAACGATTCGGCGGTCTGTTTGTCGTTCACTTCAGTGAGTCCTTTGACACGAAGCACTTCGGCTGCCTTCAGGAGAGCCGCCAACTGGTTCTGCGAGACATTCACTTCTCCGCAATACATAAAATTGATGATCGCTTTGAGGTCTTCGAGACGCATGTCTTTGAGGATAACGATGGGATGTTTGCACGGATTGGACACAAACAGGTCCTTGAAGTACGAACTGCAGGCCGAGAGGACCAGCTTATGGGCCTTCAGGTGAGTGCCGTCGACGGCCAAAGTCACGTCACAGAAGTCCTGGTCGTCCAACAACTGGTTGAACACTTTCACCATATTATTCGTGTGATTGTTCCACTTGAGACAATACTGCTGTCCCACTGGCCCAGACATTCCTCCTCAGCCACCGATCCACTCGCGACAGTACCTCCAAATCCTATCGATTATCTGCAAAACATATGACAATATATTTACCATTGGTTTGCATTCAATAATCAATTGTCAATATTTTGTGACTTAATTTGCGGACAAATGTATTGATAATTACATCACAATTAGTGTCCAAATGTTGTTTACAATCAATTGACTCAATGTTTTGCTCATTAACTGAAACCAAAAACAAATATTACCTCAAATTTAGGGATCAATTGTTTTGTGAAAATGCAATCAATTTGTTTGACAATTGGCTGTGAATAGTGTGGGCAGTAATTGTGGTCAATATGTGTGACAACTTGAGTGACAATCAGGTGATCCAACAAATGATAATATGATAATATTTAGCCCAAACTGAGTGCCAAACCAAAGCTCAAACTATAGCTGCCATTCAATACACCATTCAATACAAGCATTCAATACATTGCTATTGAATAACGCTTTTTGGGTGGAAAACACTGAAAACCCACTCAACCGGTAGTACAACACCTAATCATACATCATATTAGGCACTCTTAGGCTCTCTTTCTCTCTCTCTCTCTCTCCCTATACTTTGTGCCAAACCATCCCCTCATTCAGCCTCACTCTCCCGGCCCTCTCCTCTGCCTCTCAATCTATATTCACATTCAGTCACTTCATATGTAATCCAATATATCTTCAGCTTATTATTTAATACCAATTATTAATTCACAATTTGAGAATTGCTTACAAATGATGTATTCAATTATCATTCAATACATCCCATGTTATCATTAGATGCAGACAACAAATTGTGGAAATTTTTGTTTAATATATTTTAAACTAATTATTATAATAATTGTGGACTAAATTGAATTTAATAAATTGCATGTTTGAGATAATGATAATAACACTACAGTATTTTACCGTTTATTCAATAAACTTTACTGTATTGTAAGATTTATTACATAATTAATTGCACCACAGATTGTGAAGTCTTTGAAAGTATTTTTATTTTTAAAATTTTAATATTAATTGAAAATTTACTACTTTTGGTAGTTTTAATAAAATTTTTAATTAAATAATGTCAACAGATGTTAAGAAAAAAAACTAATTGCTGTTATACTTAAAGAATAATAATTATTATTCTTATTAACAATTCTTATAAAAATTAAGTTTTTATTTTAAAGTAATTGATTTTATTATTAAATTTTTGAGTGAATGGAAAGACCAATGGATTTGTGATAATTACTGAATTTGATAATTAAAAATGTGTCACAAAATATGGGATTAATCTTAATATTAGTTAAATTCTTGACAAATGTATGAAGAATTGTAATTAAGTTTTCAATAGTTTGTCAAAAAAATAATTAAAACTTTTCCAAACGATAAATACTCGAAATATTTTAGATTTAAAGCACAAAGAATTGGCTTTACTATTAAATCAACAAAATTAACATAAAATTAACGCAAGGATGAAGTTTACAATTAATACCAAACCAACACTTTATCGTCAATTCAATCATCAGATTATCCGCACATAATGTATAACAGAATACCGGTTCACACCTCTAGTCTTCAATCAGTAAAAATACAAAAACCATTTTTATTGTGTTTTTTATAAACACAAACATTTCGGTCATATGTTTGGATCCGTTTGACGACAATAGCGGACAAAGACTTATCGCGTGAATAGCGTTGAAGACATAGATTGGTGTCAGAGATGGCGAATCCGAACAGCGATCGCAAGACCGGAGAGCCGTTGCGGATGAACGACATGTTGGAGGCGCCGATACTCGACGACCAGTTCCAGAGTCCGATCGTAAAGGCTATGAAAGTGTTGGCCTCTGTTGTCGACG